CGTTTGTGATATGGTGACTAGGGTTTAAGAGAGGCTTGCTATTTATAAGGGAGGGTGCTTGAGTAAACACCTAAATTTAGGAGAGGCTTCTGACTTTGAGTTGGACTGTCGCTCTATCCACGGACTTATATTAAAGTGTTAGGATTGCACTTAAAGATATAGGAGCTACCAATGCTACCTAAAGTGTGAATTCCTATCGCCACTCTAATATTTCCTATAATAGCCAACTAAAACCCAACAATAAAGGGCAATTTTTTTTTATGGGCCATAGGTGGGCCCATCTGTAGGGTTGTGGGCCACTCTTTTGCTTGTAGGTCCGCCCAACTTGATCTGTTATTGGATTGGATCAATAGTCCGTAGTCTAGCCTGCGACCCGAATTTAATTGGTTGGGCAAGTGTTGGCGAGTCCTTACGTAGTTAGGATTTTGGTTCCTTATTTAGTTAGAATTTTGGTTACTTACCAATTATTATTTAGTCCTATTGTAATAGAGATTTACTTCCTATTGTAATTTAGATATATTTCCTATTTTATTTAGGGTTAACACATCTTTGTACTTGTATAAATACCTCCATATTGGAGAAGAATAATAATATGAGCGTATCTTAGCATAACTGAATATTTACCTTACTTTGTTTGACATGGCATTAGAGCCAACTTTTCTGGTGACCCGTGTGTTGTGCTCACCCGTGTTCTAGCCTCATATTTTTTTTCCTATCGGTGCCCTGTGTGCCCTCCTGGGTTTGTGTGTTGTGTCGCTGTGTTCGTGTCATTCGTGTCTTCGTGCATCTACCGTATTTGTGTATTTGCTGTGCTCCGCTGTGTTCCCCTATGATTACCTCTGCCAAATTGAGAGTCGTTGGCACTCCTCATTCCTAACCCATCATGGGTCTTCATCTTATGGTCTTTCTTGATGTCTCAGCTTCTCTATCTTTGAAACTTCATAACAAGTCTCTTTACTCCGTGAGCCTCGTCACCACTCACTGAGCCGTTGCTTTACTCCGTGAGCCTCGTCACCGATCACCGAGCCATTGCTTTCCTCCGCAAGCCTCATCAACGCTCGCCGAGCCATATCTGCAGTGATTTCTTCCTCTATGTTACAGACTTGGTATCACATCCCAAGTCAAGCTTCCAATTAAGTTTCCAGGCCCGTCTGGCATCTGCAATCCCATACCATACCAGCATAAAACCAATTCATTCAAAGTTATCCCGGCCAATCCACACTGTTGTTGTTCCCTTTGCACAGCTACTTACTCTCTATGTGTTGCCGGTATTGTCCCGACTTCTTGTCTTGCCCATATCCCACATGCATTCTGTCTTCCAGTTGTTTCACTTTTTATATTCAATATTCTATGTTCTCTCTCTGCCCGCCAACACCCTTTGTGATTAGCTCTATCTCTTGAGCTCAATCTGTCTTTTCTTCTCTTGCCCACATGCTGGATGTCTTGCCTCTTTTTTTTTTATCCTTTATTTTATTGACTTGTTTTGCACCATATGTCTCTTCCTTTATCAACACCTCTCGCATTTGTCAACATCACCTACCCTATCTATACAAATTCATCCACCTCCCTACCACCTTCCCATCTTGCATTTGTTTCTGCCACAAG